TCATAACTTTTTTTTTTATAGATATATGAGGTATTTACCTATCATTTTATATATTTTTGTTAACATTTGACCCTTCACAAGTCCACAGGAAGAGTTTCAAAATGGTAATTTTTTCACTAAAAATTAACTTTTTCAACTTAATTTTTGAAAGTGTTCCGGAAATACTGACACTTTTATATGTATCCTAAAATTAAAGCTTATGTAATATACTTTATTATGGAAAAACAAAATTTCGGATTTTACGGTGAAAATGGCTACCGTATGCTATTTTTGTGTAAAAATTCTTGATTTTATATTTTTAACTTTATAATGCTATAACTTTTTGAAAAATGTATGGATTAATACAATTTTGTTATGAGAAATGATATTTATATGTCTTTTATTCGACATACATTTTTTTTTTAATCGGACCATTACCCCTTTATACATGAGTGGATCAAAACTTAATTCCAATAGAAAGTAGAACTATTCCAACTTATTTTTAATTCAAATATATTCATTGATTATTCATACATAACCTAATAATCCAATATAAATATTTGTTATATAAATTAGATGGATTTTTTTATTATTTAGACTATATGGGAAACTCTAATTGCAGATTTGAAATCGCGGCAAAAATGGGTTTAGAAAAATATATATTAATCTCAGATGAAAATTCCTTGACCAGTAAATTTTTATAAATAACAAACAATTTTTTATTTTAATATTGCATCAAGACCTTCAACTTTTATATACTTATGCCTTAAAAGTAACAACTACTATAAATTTTTTTATAAATTCTCCGTAAAAATTACAATTCATTTAAAATGAATTCGAAATCATTAAATATAATTTTTAACTATAGAAAAGACGAGGGATTGATTTTAGCTGTCTTTATCAAAATGCACTCATATTTGTTTTGAATGTTATTAATAAAAATATTTCTTTTTATACAGTATGTATCTCTACGTAATAAAAACTTCTAAAATAGGTGATAACATTAACAGAACAACTGTGCGGGCATCAAATTTTGTTACACAAAACAACTATACCGACTAAGATTTCATAAACCTCTGCTATTATCGTTAACCAAAAATATATTCTTCTAATGATATTATACATCATAATATTGCTGGATAAAATATTTACATGACTCAGTCAATAAGGGAGGCACGTGCCCCTATGTCCCCTCTAAATACACCATTGCTTTAATTATATTCTGATTAGTGATTCTTAGATTTAAAAGTATAATTTCTGAATAATATTTTTTATAGCAATTAAATATAGTATGAAATTAATATTTTATTTCTACGGAGAAATAATAAATAATGATAAAGTAGTATATTTTTTACTTCTATGACAAATATGTGAAAAATTAAAGGGCTTGATGCAATACTTAATAGAAAATTTTTTGTTTAGCTTCGATGCGAAGCTGAGAAGGTATTAATTTTACAATGATGTGTTTTTTTTTTTTTTTTTGTGTCTGTTACCACTTTTTCTCAGCACTCACCGAACGGATTTCTTTCAACGATACGTCAAAAGATCACAAATTGTATCTAGTCGAAGACATTACCTTCAGAAATTGAAAAAATTCCCTCGTTCCCCGTAAATGGGGGAAACCTCCAAAAAATTACAAATTTAAAAATCGCTAATTTTTTCAATTTTTTCAATTTTTCTTACTAAAATGTGCCGTAACTTTTTCAAAAATGAACATATCAATATAATTTTTTTTTTATAGATGCTTGATGTTTTTACCTATCATTTGATATATTTTTATTATAAATTTAACCCTTTACCAGCCCACAGGAGGGGATTTAAAATGACAACTTTTTCACAAAAAATTAACTTTTTCAACTTAACTTTTGAAAGTGTTCCGGAAGGTCTGACACTTTTATATATATCTTAAATTAAAGCTTATGTAATATAATTTAATTTGAAAAAAAAAAATTGACCTCTGGACTTGTCTTCACGGCGAAAATGGCTACGGAATGATATTTTCGTGTGAAAATTCTCGATTTTATTTTTTATATTATATTTAACTTTATAATGCTATAACTTATTGAAAAGTGTATGGATCCACACAATTTTTTTATGAGAAATAATATTTTTTAATAAACCCTTTTTCATTCGACATACTTTATCTTAATCGAGATATTAATAAGGAACCAGCAGATCATGTAGCTTTTGGAATAAAACACCAATTTTTTTAAAATTAAACACTATCTAAAGATTTGCATCGAAGCGTTTATTTTTGATAGTGATTTTAATCACTGTCAGATATCATTATACTTGATCCAACTATACCACGAAACTACTGTGCCGCGACCCCCCTGTACTGGGTTTTTACTTATGAATAAATACACTGGTCTACAATAAACTTTCATCTAAATCAAAAATATAATTATTAAATATTTCTAATCAACTTTTCGCACTGCTTTCAAATCTTAAATTAGTCTTTTTCTATCACTTCTAAGTTTTGATATCAGAAATAATTATTAAAAAATGAGTATTTACTTGTAAAAAAACAATTAATAATTATAAAAAAAAATGTTTTTATTATTATTCATTTTGAATTTTATTATGTTTAAAAATAATCAGTGCAAAATATAATTGTTAACCTATTTTATTGGTTATTTAAAATTGAATTTTTGAAAATTTATAATAAAAAAAAAAGTTGAATTTGTTATCATGACTTTTAGCTCAACTTCAAGTTTAAAATTAAAATCATTAAATAGAAAATTGTATGATAATTAAAAAAATAATATTGTTAAGATTAATATGTAGTCAAGCTAATGTGGAAATTTTTTTTTTTAATATTTAAAAAAAAGGCAAATTTCTATATTATTAATAATTTATGTAAAAAATGAGTAGTGAATGAAAAAAATAAAATTACATATCTTAATTAATAAAAAAAAAAAATTCAACTTGGCTAATCAAATTTATAATTTGGTAACCTTTAACTGTTAATTTATCGACATTATTCATACTTGATATAACTTGAGTTAATTATTTCGATTGACTTGCCCATTCTTGAAAATAACTAATACTCAGATTTGAATATTACCTCAAATAATGTCAGAATTAATTTTGTCTTGTCAAAATCGAGTGCGAAATCTAGGAAAATGACAATAGAGCGCTCTTATTTTGTGTAACGCGTATGTAAACCAACTTTATGAAACCTACAATATTTCTTCCCCTAATTTTACTAGATTATTGTCAATGTCGTCAAGGGCAACTGTTGGACTGTTTATTATTCAATACTTTCCACTTTCGTTGCAATATCATAGACCATTCAGCTTAATGAAACATATTGTATTTAAAATAGCCCAATTCATTTTATGCAAAATATTAAAATTCTTTTACCTTCCTACTTGAAATGATTAGCTCACCGCGAGAAGAAGATTTAAGGGAAGAGTTAAGTGATACAAACATTTTCAATTTTCCTTGTACAAATACAAAAAAAACATTCACTTTTTACAGTCATCCTACACCACTTGCCCGAGAAAAGTAGGTACACTTATTACTCAATAATATAAAAAACACAGCTCAAATAATATTACACTACGATTGTACTTTTTTCTCTATTTAAATTATTTATTTATTATACAAAACTATTTCTTCTTTTTATTGGATAGTTTGCCATATCGTAATGGCAATTAAAAATTAAAGGATTACTTGTTTTATAATTTTTTTACACAAAAAGATACATATTTAAAAAGAAAAATTTAATAATTTCAAAACAAAAGTTATTTATTAAAATTTTGCATTGTTTAGTTATTAATACAGTATACTACGTTAAAAAAAACTTAATATATTATTTTATAATAATAATAAACTCATTAAATTAAAATTTGTATAAATAGACGTAAATATTCCTAATATAGATTTGACAAATAATTAAGTTTAAAGTAATTAAACAATTCAAAAAGGACATTAATATAAGTATTTTCATTATAAAACTTCACAGTATTTAAAAAATGAATAAATTATAATTGAAATCGTCGTTAAAAATATTTATGGCTCAATTCAATTTCAGTGTTTTAGGTGAATAGTATAAAGTCTTTTAAATATAAAATATTTAACTTTAAATAAAAAACGATAGTACGTTAAATTATACATGTTTCCCGAACATTAACGATATTATGTTGGGTAAAATTAATGTGACAACAATTGATTTCTATTTTATAAGGTCTCTGTTGTTATAACTTGTCGTCATAAGCTAATTCATATAGTTTTTAGAAATTTTGTCACCAATGTAAATCAGTTAGATTATTACATAAATTTTGTTCAATTGTGCGTGAATATGTTTAAATCCTTCAGTGTTTTCATCTTTTAACGTTAGAAGTATGTTTGTGTTTTTAAGGTTTCACTACATTCATACATCGTACTGTGATTAATTCACTATAAAGATAATTATAATCTATATTTTTACTAATTTAATAGTGAAAAAAAAAATCGTTCTAAAAATTGCTTCACATTCATTTATACATTTACATATAATTGTCGTGCTTAAGGAAAGTCGTTGCCGCTGACACAGGGTTTCAAAAAACTTCAGCTAAATTTTTTCTATACTTAAAAAATATCTAAGAATAATGTTACTTTGAGAATTCTTTAATTTAATACATTAACGTGTATTTATTAACAATATGTTTTTGATATAATAAAATCACATGTGACTAATATTATTTAAAAACATATTTTTAGTAATCTATCAAAAATTAGCACAAGACATTAGTTTAATATACCGTAAAACATTTTTTTATTGAAAAATTATTCTATAAGACAACCCTGTATCTATGACTGACGTGCAAAAGGTAACTTACTATTTTATATTAAGCGTAACAGGAAGCCACTGACCCCCTCGTATGGTCAATGTAAAACGCGCGTGCCCCGTCTTAGCTCCCGGTCGTTCTACCCACACCTTGGCGATACTAAGGGCATAGCTGCCAGTGCCATTCGATCCTACACGCACTAATGTTCGTTGGATAGCGTGAAAGTGGCCGTCCAGGCGTCGCGTAATGCACACCGTCCGCGGTGGAAGCGCATTCGTAATCATCAACGACGGCGATACTGAAGGAAGTTGCAGTGGTGACAGCGGCAACGGTCTTCGGTACGGCTGTCCAAATCGCAGTCGTGGCCGCGACCAATTTGTTCAAAAATTGGACGCTAAGCTTAAGAAATTGCAACAACAAAGACAAACGATAACGACCACTAATCAGTCCGGGCGGCCGTTATTTATCACAACTGTTAAAACTGGTGTGTTTCTCGATCCACCGCCCGATTTGGCGATACTACTTGGCTTAGATAATGGATTGCCAAATTACAGGTCCAAACGTTCTTATTATTCCTATTCAAGCAAACCGCAAATACTGTATGACAAACATCATCGTCATTGTACTTTAAATGAACAACCCTCAAAGTAAGTGAGATGAACTTCATGGACGGTCTACCGTTTTCATTTAAGTAATCCATATACTTGTTTATAAATTAAAAGTATAATAAAATTAGACAAGAATCATAGATATACACAAACTGAAAATATAATAATCAATTTATTTATATTCACAATATAACAGTATACACAAATCCTAGTCACGATAAATTAAAATGTAAGTTTTCATAAAAATTCATAATCATTATTGATATACTATGTAGGCTGTTAAAACAAAATACCTGTTTATAACATAACAAATATCATATAAGGCTAATGTAAATTTTTTAATTTCTGACGTTTTAGACACATTTAAAATGTAACATCCTGAAAATGTAAATACAAATATTCTATGAAAAAGTATTTGGAATATATTCAATCCGTTTTTTTATTATTTAATTTATCCTGTTTTTTTTTTTATTGGCATTTCACATTATTATAAGACTTATATGAATATATCTTGTTATCAAAAAAGGATTTCATTAAATATTGACAAAAATACACTCATAAATTTAAAATTATAAATAATTTAAACTAGTTTATTAATTTTTAACTTTTTTAGTTGAAATTATAACATGTGTTTAGGAGAATGGTTCACGTTACACATATCAGCCAACACAAATTGGAACCTTATTCATTTTCATCAGAATATATATTGAGTGTTCTGTAAGTAAGGAAACGGGTTTCTATTGATTTTATTGTTTGTAAAATCTGACCTGTTTCCTAACTTACTGAACACTGTGTAACGAAAATACTACTTATTAAGAAAATACCTTATGAAAACCTATTAAAACTTTTATTTATAACTAAATATTTTAATACTTCATAAAAATTAAATTATATATATATAATTAGATACAATTATATAAGAAATAACAGAAACATACTATTTAAAGTAAACACATCAACTTTTATTACAAATCGACTCAAAAATATAATATATGAACAAATAGAATTATTGTCAATTATCGTGACTGCCTGCGAAATCTATGAGGACTAAGGTATCAATTAACATAAGTTGAACCAATACAACAACCACTATTATTTTCGTGGAATTAGGTATGTCGAAACATTATGGTTATTAATTGTGACAGGAATACCATTCTATAGAACGAGGTTTATATCTCAGACAATTATTGATAAAATAGCAGTATTTTATTATTTCATTGTTGGTAAATAAACGACAGATCCTTTATCTACAAGTCTTAATTATTAATAATGCTCTTCCTATCTAAAAAAGTTAAATTGTGCCCATAAAATTTTGGTTATAATATATATGAATATAAATTTTTAAGCTTAGTCATTTCATTTTACTAAATGATTGCAAAGAGAAAAAAAGGGGCTAATTATTATTTAGAAGAATATTTGTTTTTAAATACAAATATTATGTAAAAGTATTTAACCCGTCGTTGGTAAACATGTGACCGCAGCGCTCATACAAAAATGAGTTTTTAACTCCAATTGTATAAATATTTGTTAATTGGTTTGATTCTAATATTATCTGCAAATAATAAATTTACAAATAATAAAAAAAAAGTAGCCGCTATCTACATTTTCTCGGGAGTTTTTAATAAGCAAAGTTGAATTTGCTAAGTTGAAATATACAATTAAATTGTATAAAACTACTTTTTTTTGCTCATATCTTTTGTTAACACATATTAAACTCATGTTTTAGGTTTTTTTTTAAAAATCTGTTATTTGCTTTGAATCCAATTTTATTATAAATAAATATATTTTTTTTTATACAACATGTATTATCTCTACGTAATAAACACTTCAAAAATAGGCAATAACATTAACTCTATAAAAATAAATGTCAATAAAAAATTGGTTCATGTACAAAATAAATCAATTAACTTAATAATAAAAAATTAATAACATTATTTAGTCAAAAATAAAATCTATCAGACTTAATACATTATTATATAAAATAGTAATAAAAATAATATTAATTGTATTGATTATGATATTTAAAATTTAGTTACTTTATTCATGTAAAATTTAAATTAAAAATATATTTTCTTAATGAAATATTCATTTCGTAAAATAATATAGTTTTAAGAAAAGAAGCAAAATTTTTAAGTATTTTTTTAGTTTTAGTGTTGTGGTTTCTTTTATACTCACAGTTCCCAAATTAAAAATTCTACATTTTAACGTTGCCGGATCGAAGCAGCCAACTACCTACTTTCAACTAGACACGCAAACCACTCATTAAATATGCATACATTTCATTTTTTTAGCCACAAAATATATTATGTTTGTATTTCAAAGAATCTTATTATAACCTTTAAATAAGTCGATTCATCAAGCAATATTTTTGCAAACACGGTATATAATTTAACAAATATAATGAAAATTTATTTTTATTTTTTACAGCATGTGCAAACAGGGTTATACTAATATCATGCACGATAAAAGAGTGGTTAGAGGAAGTAACTTTGCAAAGAAACCGAGCGTAAGTACTTTATTTCAAAACCAAGTCACATTGGTATTTAGAATGAGGACTTAAATTATTTATAATTTTTATGAATTTTTTATACCTAGCGTCCAAAATGGAATCCATATTGTGGATATGCCAAACAGCTATCGTCTGAGGTGAACGTTTTTCTTTTACGCATGCCCTGTATATATACAAAGTGGAACAAATCTAACTACCTGACTACTCTTATAATTGTTGATATAATTAAAATATCGCTGTAACTTTTTTTTTGTAAAAAAAAAAAGCTCTGGAAGCCATTTTGAAATGTTGAAAAAATAAATAAAAATATGCTCTTAACGTAGTCTAAAAATATAAAAATTAAAAAAAAAATTGCATCGAAATAACTATTGATCAAAAATTACAAGAGTTGTCAGTTACATCTATTAACTCTGTATAAACCGAATGTTCAATAAGTAAGGAAGGGGTATCATTGTTTGTTTTCATTGAATGTAACAATACATTTCCTTACTTACTAAACACTCTATATATTTTTTTCAAATAACTATTAATTTAAAAAACAATTTTATGAACATAGTATTGTTAAGGGGACGTGTTTTAAAATTATTATACTGAAGGGTTAATATCCACATATTTAATTGTTTTTATTAAATTATCTTAATTATTATTTATATATTTATACTTTTTTTAAGCAATTAAATCCATTTTTTTATGATATTTACAATTGTTTCAATTTGATTGAAAATAGTAAGTCTAAATATATTTAGACTGTAATATTTATAAGAATTGAATTTTAAGGACTTAACTATTTTAACTATACACAGTTTTTAAATAAACGTTTTGGATTATTCAACATTTTATAAATAATTTTTTCACGATAATGTATTAATTGTCTTTTATTTGACAGTTAAACAATGATTACTCCGATGTACGAGAGGCAGAAGCGCGGCGGCGAGCAATTGTCAGAAAAAAAGCAATGGACTATCAGTCGAAAGCATTACGCTTACATTTGGGCGGTCCTAAAATGTTAAATGGTAGACAACATGATGTTAATATTCAAACTGATAAACACTTAGAAGAAGTGAGTTTCCAAGATAAAAAAAACTAATAATTAAATGATTATTATTATTGTGATAACTTATTATTATTGTGATAACTTATTATTATCATTTAATTAAATAATTAAATATTTAATTATTTAAAAAATATAATATTTAAGTTAGTTTACTCAAGAATCTAACAATAAACATATGATTTCCGTAAAATTCAAAAGGGTAAAAATATATTCGTTAATATATCTTACCACTTATTAATTTAGTATCTATAAGTAATTCGTTGAATATTAATATAGCTCTGCATTGCTAATAATTATTATAAAATGTAGTATTCATTTTAAAAATCCTAAGACAACTTCCTATTCTCCCTTTAGAAATAATACTTAAGTACTTATCACTCAATAGGTGATAAGTCCCACCAACATTCAATAATACTATATATGTATATTATTTATAAAAAATATTTAGGTAAAGCAGATTTTAGTATTAATAATAGCCCTGTTCAAACTTTCGTTGAAATTATATTCTATAAAAAGCTCCAGTATCAAAAGTTATTTTAAATAAAAAAAATACAGTTGGGTGGCGGCACAGTGGGGTCGTGGCATAGGTGGGTCTAGTATAGATGATATCTGACAGTGANAGGGTCCAGTATAGATGATATCTGACAGTGATTAAAATCACTATCATAAAAAACGCTTCGATGCAAATCTGTAGATAGTGTTTAATTTTAAAAAATTGATGGATAATTGCAAAAGCAACATCAACTTCTATTAAAATAAAATACAAAACCCATAATTATCATACAAAAATAGTATATTTTTCAATATGGTAGCCATTTGCGTATAGAAGATAGATCGTCGGGACAAATTTTTTTTTTTCATTTTGTAGTACATAAAATAAGCTTTAATTTTATATATGTTTAAAGGACGCAGTATTTCCGGAACATTTTCAAAAATTAAGTTGAAAAAGTTATTTTTTGTAAAAAAGTTACTATTTTAAATCCTCCCAGTGAGCAGAATAAGTGTTAGATTTTCAAAAAAAATTATATCAAATGAAAGGGAAATATCTAAGGTTTCAATACAAAAAAATATTATTTTTATTTGTTCATTTTTGAAAAAGTTATGGCAGTTTTAAGTACAAAAAACATCCCGATAAAATGTAATTTTTATCGCAAACATTACATTTTTTTTTAAATTTTCGACAGCCATTTGCACATAGAAGATAAGATGTCGGGACAAATTTTTTTTTTTCATTTGATAGTATATAACATAACCTTTGATTTGATATATGTTTAAAGGACGCAGTATTTCCGGAACATTTTCAAAAGTTCAGTTGAAAAAGATCTATGTTTTTTACAATATTTTAAGTTTTGAACGCCCCCTATATAAGGGGAAATTGTCCAATTTTAATAAAAAGTATGTCAAATGAAAGATGTACTTATAATGTATTTAGAAAAAAAAAAATTGTGCTGATACATACATTTTTCGAAAAGTTATAGCATTTTTAAGTTGAAAATTAAAAATCGAAAATCGAAAATTTTAACACAAAAATAGTGTTTTTTTAACTACGGCAACCGTTTACATGTAGAAGATAAAGTGTCGGGACAAATTTTTTTTTTTCATTTTATAGTACATAAAATAAGCTTTAATTTGATATATGTTTAAAGGACGCAGTGTTTCCGGAACATTTTCAAAAATTAAGTTGAAAAAATTAGTTTTTGTAAAAAAGTTGCTATTTTAAATCCTCCCTCATGAGCAAGTTAAGTGTTAGATTTTCAACAAAATGATATCAAACGAAAGGGAAATATCTAAGGTTTTAGTAGAAAAAAAATTTATGTTGATTTATTTATTTTTCAAAAAGTTATGGAAGTTTTAAGAAAAAAAAGTGAAAAAATTTCGAAAATTAGCGATTTTTAAATTTGTAATTTTTTTGGATATTTCCCCCATTTTCGGGGAACGAGGGAATTTTTTTCAATTTTTAAGGGTAATGTCTCCAACTAGATACGATTTGTGATCTTTTGACGTACTTTTGAAAGAAATCGGTCCAGTAAGAGCTGAGAAAAAGTGACAACAGACATAAAAAAAAAAAAAAAACACATCATAGTAAAATTAATACCTTCTCAGCTTCGCATCGAAGCTAAAATGTGACACTATCGAAGTATTTAATATAATATATTAAATATTGTATATTATACAATCTATATTATATAATATTTTAGCTTTATGAATATCCACCATCTCAAACTTTTGGTTCTCAAACTGAAGACGACGTTGATTATGAATTATCCAACCATCCAGGATCAAGTGGAACAATAGGAACGGATGCATCAATCCAAGTTGATGAAAAAGACGTTAGTTTTAATTTAATACTTTATTCGCCTAGCTTTCAGAAATAATTTGGGTCAGGCTAGCCCGATCCAAAAGTCGGGAGGTTGGATTGGGTTTCATTTTTATCATTTCATTTTTCGAACCCAATTGAGTCGGACCTTAATTTAAAATGGACAGAGACGGTTCAGTTCGAGCTTCTAAAACTGTCCGTAATTTTAAGGCCCGAACTAATATCTGCTAACTGTATACTACTTAAATCTAACTTAGTAAATTTTCTTATTATAGAATTTTAATAGTTAAATATTTTTCATTGATTAGCATTGTTTGTTCAGTCTAGGTTACAAATATTGATAAAAGTTATGTATAATAAAAAAATGTTATTATAACTAAATATATTCTCTCGAAAAACTTTTTTAAAACTCCATCTACATTAATTTTTTTATGTTAAAAACTATTTGATTGTTTACAGTTATTTGACTTTGACACTGCTGTATCACCCGTTATAGAATCTCTTATCACAAATACTTTCAAGCAAGCTTTGCAAGAAATATTATATGAAGATGAATTGGATACTCTTCTTCGACAACAAAGAATATTTCATTCAAAACACACCAATAAAGAAGATAATAGAGAAATGAAAAGACTAGAAAATTATGGAAAAACGCTGAGTTATACAGTAGGTTTATTAGTATCATAAGGGTAAATTAAGGAGACTTTAAAGGTCTAAGTTTTTCCAATTTTAAAATTAACCCCTCCAAAATTTTAGAAAAACAACATGTACAATGATATTAAAACATATTGCATTAAGATATAATTAGATATAATGTACACTTCTAAATATTTTGTTGAAATTTTGCCTATGATTGGTATATTATTTTCATGCATTTTGTAAGTTCATACCACTGCTGTAGGTGTTTTTCAGAAAAAGTGAAACCATTATTTTAAATAATTTACGTGTAATTATATTTATCTAGTATGGGATATTTTACTTTTACTGTTTAGATGTTTAGATTTATGGTTGGTTTTATTTTGTAAATATCCGTAAAATCTAAAATATACAAACGCACCTATGTCAGTTAAAAATTATCTTAAAAACATATTTATAATTATTTCAATATTATTTTTAAGGTAGAAAAAACTAAAAATACAATAAAAGATAGAATAGAAAACAATAGAATATCAGATCAAAATAATCCTACAAAAGAAAGAATAGATGAAGTAATTAATGAAATCATTAGGATAACTGAATCTGCCACTAAATTATTAAAAAGTAAAAAAATAATTATTTTATTTCTATTTTCATTACTCTTACACTCTAACGATTAATTTCGACAATAGACTCTGAATTTTTACCATGGTTAGAAGAAGAAATTCAAAAAAACCATTCTCAAAAAATTGATTACACAAATATTTTAAAAAGTGAGTCAGATTAATTAATTAATTTAATATTTCCAATTTATAATAGGTATATTTATTTAATATTTTTTAATAAACGATAAAAAAATTAAAACCTGTTTTAATTTTTCTAGATATGATTGATAAAATAATGGAAAATCATTTAATGGATGATGCTGTTCTGAAGCATAAAATTGCCTTGTAGATTTTCCTTTGCTTTTATCCTCTAAATATTGGTTGAAACATGCCAAATTAAACTTAAGAAACTAAAAAATTGTATACTCGGCCTTATATAACACTTTATATTGAAACTAAATTTTCTGAAGAATATACATTTTCATATTTAATCCATTTAAATATTTCAATTTTTTTTTATTAATTTTTAAATTATAGTAATGCTAATGATACCACTGCAGTATTGAAAATAATTAAAAGTGCAAATGAAACAAGACAATCAATCAAAGCAAAAAAAGACTTAATCGAATAAGAAAACAATGACGCACAAGTATAAACGAAAATAAGGACACTAGTTGACAATCACGATTAAAAAATTTAAATATATAAAATCAAAAATAGTTTTTATTAATAATTTTTTTTTTTTTTTTTGTAATAAATTGAGCATATGTGATTAATAGATATTTGTTAAATAGTATAAAAAGTTTATGTGTTATATTTAAAGTAATTTTAATAAAAAAATGTCATCTCTAGAAAAAAGTAATTTTTCATGTACGTTAGGGTAAAGAAGGACGTTGGCTTATTAAATCACGATTAAGAACTAGTAATGTGTGGTTTATACGTAAATCCATAATTTTGGAAAGAGGGTTATTTACTATTTTTCTTTTTTCGTGTTATTACACGAGGGTTCCAGAAGCAGATGTTAACTTGTAAATTTAATAACACAAAATCCATATCTAATACATCTAAATTAACAACGCAACATCCGATAAATATTAATGTGTTCTTTCTCAGTTGCAGCTGACAATGACAAATTTATTCGATAAGAAATCAAAATTTTGTTCATGAATTATAAAAATTATTTATCTGTTAAACATTGCAAAATATATAAATAGGAGTTTTGAATTATTTATATTTATACAAATACACTCATATATATATATAGTTCAGTTTTCTTAAATAGTGATTGGTAATTAAATAGTTATTAATTGTTTGATTGTAAAAACATGATTTTAAATTAGTTGTGTTGCTTAGCTGTCGACAAAACAGTTTTTTCAGTCGTGCACTTTTTATTTAACTGAGTCAAGGAGCTATTTAGAAAATTTTTGGGGGAGGATGCTAAAGAGGAATTTTTATTTTATCTTATAATTTTAATTATATTTTATAACCATTTTTTTTATTCCATAATTCACTCTATTTAGTAACAAAAACCGAATACGGCAAATAATTTTTGGGGGGGGGGAACATTATCATATGTTTAAAAATTAAGTCTGAGAGTATCATTGTTGTACAACGACGACTTTGGCATTGAATTCTACACACAATATTCATTGTATATTTTTATCAAATTTAGGATTAAATTTAATATCTAGATTTTAAAGTCGTACCAAGTAGTTTTACAACCCTTCGGGTTTAAAAAAACAAATTTCAATCAAAACCAAACCGGCACGGGCAGTGAGTAATAGGACCCAAACAGGTGCTGCAGCCGTGCATAATTCGCATTGTGAAAATCTACCACAAAAGCTTTCGTTCCGGGGCGATTCGATATGCATCTACCACACGGTGGAACCCTCGAATTTTGACTACGATCGCAAGTAGGTGTGCTCAAAGTATAGATGTGCCTTACATACTCATCATAGTACACCCATAGGCTGTTTGGAAACACTGTTTTTTTTTCAATAGGCGGACAAACAAAAATCATCCCCAGTCACCATTCATTCAATATCCTATTAGTACACGGTTCGGAAAATGTAGAAGGGTTTTGGTCATCACGGCCGGTTCTTCTTGAGTTTTAAATCAAGATGGACAATGACTTAATACAATGGCAACCCTATTTTTTTTAACACCATTACATTTAGTTTAATAAAAATAAACTGTTTTGTAAAAAAAATATTTTACTTTATTTAATATAAAGCGCTCCACGGCTCTCCAAAATTTAGGATTTATTAAGAAAAAATTATAACAGACTGCAACGTTAAAGGACGTAAAACGATAAGCGCTACCAGTTCTATAAATAAACATACCAAGCTTACCTTAGTTATTCTGACTACGTGTGTTAACACAGTAAACCGGTAGCTCTTATCGCTACATAAAATAATGTGACCGTGTTGGAAAAACTACTAATTTTTTTCTTCAAATATCGTAAATTTAAAAGTAGCATATCTTGTTTTAAAATTATATTTTTTTATTAATTTTTTTTTTTTATGACGAACAAAAATTTATAAAAATAATATGGGGTTGCCGTTTGAATATCTGAAGTCGATACAAGTTTTAAGCATAAGCGATGGTGGTAGAAATTTTGAGTGTATTTTGTCATTTATATTTCTCATGTATATTAATTTATGTGCCATGGTGTTTATACATTTGTTTGTAAGTAATTACATATTAAATCAATTGCACATTTTAGGGGGTTCATAGCCTATTTTTAACTAACAAAACGTGTCATAATATAACACATCCAAGAAAATGTTTACCTCCATTATATTATACCTAAATTTATCTGATCAAATCGAGCAAAACTTAAAAGAAAATATTCTTGAAATTTCTAGTTTTAAATCTAAAAGGTTTTGTTATTTCTCCATATAAACCAAAAATATTAAAAATAAACATCAGTTGTTCATTAGTTATTTTGATCGTTTGTATTATTTCGCATACGTTATAAAAAAGCAAGCACACAATGAAATTCAATGAATTGAAATAATAGATACTCTAAAAAGAGGAAAAGTAATATTGATTTTATGTTTATTTACTGTTATTTACTTACTTATTATTTAATATTCAGTTTTCACAATGATATTATGCGAAGTGGATAAATCTTATTCAATAATTTTTTTTTTTTATTACAAAAACATTGAGCTTGTTCCTTTTTTGGCTTTAATATCATAAATAGTGTTTAATAGAATATTTCTTTTTCAGAGATGGTTTTGAAATATTTTCGTAGAGCTATTGCCTTTTTAACAAAGAAAAAAAGTAATAAACCATTAAAATTATACTAATAACTTATAAACTATGATTTATAAAAAAAATTATAATAGGAATTTCAGTTTATATATTTACATTTTTTTTTTTTATCAACTATTATATACTTTTAAATTTAGTTTTGAAATGATTTAGTTCACTAAACACTGTCAAAATAATAAAATGGCTAACGGATCTAAATAATTATGTTTAGTTAACTATAAAAGAGAAATAGTTTTCGCAGTAAAAACGTTTTTCTAAATTACGCTATCATGAAATTGATGTATTTAATGTATTTCAAGATAGATCATTCCTAAAATTATATTTAATAATGCATTCAAATTTTGTTTTAAAATGTAATAAATTAACTATAATTGATTCTATAAAATGACAGATACTTAGTTACTTTTCAAAACAAAAATTAAAAATAATTATAAAATATCTGGTTAAAAATTTTTAAAAGTCTAATGTTTTAAACTTTGGTAACACGTACTTAGGCAATCATTCTAAAGTTGAAATGTATGAAGATTCTCTTATTCGTAGTATTGATCATCTGGCCAATTTCGTACAGTATCATTCGAATAATTCAACAAAATCTGAAGTCCCAGAAATTATTGCTACTTCAGTAATGGAGGGAGAACATAATCCAATTAACCGGAATTTGACATTCTGTTTAAAAAAATCAGGTTAACTGTCTTACATAAACTCAATCTGGAAGGCTAGGAGTCTTGACACCTCAAATTCTGCCATCGTCATAGATCTTATAAACGTGTATAGGACATTGATGCTTTATCATTGAAGACTGTGGTGATAGTAATTTGAGGCTATTTGTTTGCATTATTACATGATAACATTTTACTTTTTTTTATTTAATGGTTAGTAGTTATTAATTAGTATGAGTTATGTAATAATGTAAAACTAAATTTAAAAATTAAAAAAAAACACATTATAGTAAAATTAATACCTTCTCAGCTACGCATCGAAGCTAAAACAGTATTTTATGCGCTTATCACAGTTAAAATGTAAGCAAACGGAAGATTCTCCCGTCTTTTTAATACAAGCATTAACTTAATAAATAATAATACTAAATTAAAATTTTAAAAAAGATATTTTAGGAAATAATAGTATTTTGAATGAGCAAACAGTTCCAGTAAAACAGGATCAGCAAAAAGAAAATGAAAAGTTCGGCAACAACAAAACGGTCAGTAAAACTTAAATACGTAAAAAATAAATATACAGTGTCTTTAAGAACTTTTGAATAATTTATAGATGTTGGAAGAAACTCCTAATAGTGTTTCGATGCCTTCCGCGTTGAAGACTTCAACATCAAACATGTATAATGGTGACAGTAAAATATTAAAACGGAATACTACCAAATCATATAAAACAGCAGAAGAACGTATTCCTAGTTTTTATTTTATCTCGAAACCAGTCTGTAAGTTAATATTCAGATGTTTTTAGTGAGTTTTCCTTAAATTTGTTTTTATTTTTCAATAGGTTCAGCTAAAAAAGTTAAAAACCATTCAAATAATCCAAATAAATCCACAAATATGGTTAACAGAGATAGTAAAAAATTAAATCAGAAAATGGCCACTGTATTTAAGAAGACAGAAGAACGCATTCCTAGTTTTCTTTCTATCCCATCACCACCCTATAACGAAATATTGAGATGTTGATTTTTCAATAGGCTCAACTAGGCATAAAAACGTTAAAATCCACAAAAAAAAATCCAAGAAACCTATGCGATGTCACACGTGTAGTAATAAAACATTGTATATTTTTGTTACCGAAAACTAAAAGCAAATTGTTTGTACTAAAAAATTGCACGTACGAAGAAGGCTCACAGCTTTCTTGACTTGATAGATATTTTATTTTAGTTATAATTTTGTTACCTATAGGTGTAACATTAATTTTACGCTTTTTAAAAAAGTGTAGATATAATCATAAAAGTTGGCAATAACAAAGTTTTTACTCTTTATGTAGAAAATAAAAATAAGATGAATCAGTAAGATGAAAATACATTATTCTCATTGTGAGTGTCATATGCAACTTAAAAAAGTCATTTGTTTATACACCGCATTTATATAATAATAATAATTTGGATAATTTACTATTTGCTAATTGTTTTTCAAATGTGCATTTTTTTATAAAAACTTTTAATTATTTATTACTTATGGTTTTGTTATTATAAATAAATTATTTAAATATTTGTTAATTTCCTTTTACAAATAATTATTTCTTTAAGATGATAATGTCTAGTATCATAGGTCTATAACTAGACATATTGAGTAATTGCACAAAAAAAAACAGTAATAGTTGAATAAAAAATCATTTATGAAACATGATTTTATTTAGACTTTATTTTATCCAATGATTGTATTTATTATTTACATAATATATTATTTTTTAATACTTACTTATTTTAGATCTTCTTCTTCTTCTTCCTCGCCACTTACTTATTTTAGATAATAATTATGAAAATCAATTTTAAAAAATAAATAACAATTATAAAATAACTTAATTAAAATCAAATAAAACATATCCATTCCCGTTTTGGTATTTTTAAGTAGGTTCTTATTGAAAGGTAATCTGAAAAAATTACTAAATTTCATAAAATAAGTTGAATTAGTGTGTAATGCAGTGGCCTGGACGACACAACGATCGTACCCCCTACTAAAATTAATTAAAAGAAGAAAATTAATTGTACATTCTTAATACTATGTTTTTATTAAAAATGCAAATTTTTAAATAACTAAAATTATTATAATACATTTGTAATGTGTTATATTAAAAACGTATATTATAAACGAGGCGTTCAATCGTGTGCGTCCGGGTACTGTTAAGTTGCAATATTATACAGAGTGATTGACTATGTCTCATTTTTTTATGGATTTTGAACGACTAACGGCGTTGTAACAGTAAAATATTTGTATATTACTATATTGGGTAATTTATTTTTAGAATTAATTACATGTTGTACTCTCGTCGTTATCGTTTGCTATAATAGTATAATCACTATTATTATTATTTTAACTTCTATTTTCTACTGCGAACTTTAAAATAATAGTATGTTTTATTTTATTGTATTTAATTTGACAACTATTTATACCTTGAACTAGCGGTATTATATTTGAAGTCGCACCCCCACCACCAGCACCACGAGCCGTCACTGTTATATATTTAAAATAAGTCAACTAAATAATGAAACAGAATTGTAATTCACTTAAAAGTATACTACAAAAATTATCGTATTTATGTTATTTAATAATACTTTTCGATATTTTAGAAATAAAATATAGTTTCAATTTAGTTAAAATTATTTTTTATCTATTTAACATTTTAAGAGCGCGGATAAAATTTCATAGATTAATAGTATAATAATAACTCGATAAAACATTTATAATTTAAATATCGAGTTGGAAAAAATTTTCCAATTTGCTAAGTAAAATTATTCTAACATTCCCTTAAAACATCAGCAGATGATTTCGTTTCAACGGCCACGTAGCTATAGCAGCGACCTGAGTTCGATGATCACGGTGCACACAAGTGCTGTTGGTTCAACGTATACCGTGTATACCAATAGCGTTAGAGCTGTAAGGTATTTTTAGCTAATATTTTCGTTAATTTATTTTCAATTCGATTCCAATCGATTTGACTCGTGACATGCTATTGACAGTCCAATAGTTTCCAATGGCTTTTAATAGTATTTCGTATTAGGGTCCCATGTTGCGTACTATCACGTTCTACACAATGAATACGACGATAGCGTTGCGGTGGTGTTTTAGTTTAAACTTCTGCAGCAGAGCGCTACAGTCGAGCTGTTCACATGGGACCCTAGTACAGTATATCCTTAATAAAATATCCCCGTGCAGAAACACACACATACACACGGTGCCGTTAAACATCGTTTAGCTTGTCAGCATCCAATTGTTGTACCAAACGCGTATGTAACCGCATGGCATGCGTTATGGTAAATGCATTTTTGGATGCATTTCATTATAAAATAGTTAATTTTTCGTAACTAATTATAGTTACGAACTATTGTTCAACAGTTTATTTTTGTTATTACATTATTGTTATATTTAATAAATAATAGTTTATAATACAAATTGATTGATACTATAAAGAAGGGTTTTTTTTATTAAATCTACAAGAAAAAATCATAGTAAACTTCATCCACCATTGTACAATGAATAAAAGACGACACTAATTAGTGCTCTAATGTTAATGTTTTTGGAGTCGCTCTATTTTGGTCGGATACTATTCAAAATAACGCTTTAACATGGAATATTATTTTATAACTCTAATTATATTTAATTCTGATTTATCATCTTTCTAAAGACAAAAAATAATCAATATGACGAATTAAACATGGCGAAAAAATCTACATGTTTACATAGCGATTTTTAATAAAAAATTCTTGAAAAAAATTAGAGTCCTTCTAAGTTATGTTTTTTTAAACTTTTATAACTTTGTTTAAAATCAGTTTATCGAAAATTGCCCAAGCAATGATGCAGATGATTTTGTCTTAATTTAACATATTGATAATCATTCTATTATCATTCAGTTCTTCAGAATAGTTATCCCAAGACATGTTTTTCGATTTTTTTAAAATTACGCAGTTTTGTGGTGCTTTGAGTGGAATTCGTTGGACACGTGCGACCGTCGGCAGCATCTACTTAAAAAACCGGTTTTGACAAAGCGACTCTTCCTACGCGGCTCGACGTCCCTCTACTCTCTTATTGCGGTGAACAGATATACTCAGTGGCACGGAAGTCAAAAATAGGTAGGACAAAAATTTTTCGAGGATTAACTTTAAAAACTAATAAATAAATTTTAAGCAAGAAAAGATTCATGAATTAAATCATATTAGTTTCCGCAAAAAATATTCATGAAAAATCAAATAGTAATTTTATATTATAAAATTATCTAGTAGACATAGGTGTAACTAGGGAGCTAGAGCACTAAGCTTCTCAGTTGACAAATTAGATCTCTAGAAATTTAGAAAATCGTGTAGAAATAATATATATAGTTATTTTAAAATGTTTTGAGATGAGGGAAAAGTACTTTAAGCCCTTATTGACGTAGTTCATTAATTAAACTTAGTCCAATATCTATTGTTAGTCTAAATTTTTGTTTGAATGGGCATTCAAACAAAACTACAGAAAATAACATTTTATTAATGTAACCAGAAAATATATGTACATTATCATATTGTAATTAGTTTTGTGACGTACCAATGAACAGATCTTCTGATATATTTAATTTAATTTTTGTATGGTCATTATCTTGACCTTTTTCAATAATTTCTAAATTATTATTATTTATAACTTAAATAAAACACATATTAAAATGTTACATTATTGTATCGTTAAATTAATTTGGAAACGTTATAAATATACGTTATATGTAAGTTAATTATATATATAACAGACAATTATTTATAACAATAATAATTATTGTGACATGATTTTAATTATTAAAATTAAAAAGGAATTATTAAAATCATGTCACAGGACACCAGTTATTTATTTAAATTTAAATTTAGTTTTTAAGTTAAAAGATAATAATAGTAAAATAATTTACCGTGAAGTATCAGGTTTATTCTTTTTTTATGAAAGTTGTTTATCTTATGTAGATTGCTATTCATCAATAATTTAATTACTTTAAATTACAACATGTATCAGTTTCAAAGAATATGTAAAATGAAAATGGTTAACTGTCATACAAATATAACAACAATATCTACTAAAATTTGTACAAAAAAGAAATACAACAATAATGTAGTAAAAGTTGCACTAAATAATGTATACCAAAAATTGACTAAACCGACATGAACAGCATACATTTGATAAATTCAATCTACTAATAATACTGAAGAGCAATAAATAAGAAATAGGAATACCCAACCGGGCAGTCTATTTATAATATTAATTTTAGTTTACTGTACACCATTCAGCAATAATCTAAATAATCGTTTTTAGCAGATGAAAAATATTAAAAACGACGACAAATTCATTGATTATTTTTGATTCGATGAATAGATATTTGAGAAAATGAATACTGAAATCAAATCGGTCAGGTAGACAAAAGTAAAGCAAAGCGTAAGTTCATAAACAAACTGGCAAGGTGGTAATGTAAAGCGTTAAAAACGTTTTTAACGCTCTGTTCCTTATAATTATTCTAACTTATTAAAACAACGTTGCCAGTTTACTTGTGAACTTACCGTAAGCAACAATACGCAAATTAGTGAATATTGGATAAGATAGGATGATCTAACTTACAATTTGGCCGCCAAGTTCTCTCGTACAATATATTTACTGTACTATACATTTATAAGTTGGTCTATAAATTTGTTCACTCGGTTATTTGAATTTGTTACTCATACTACCTATATCTATGCATCGAATTAAAAATAATGAATGAATTTGTCGCTTATTTGTTGTTGTTTTAAATTTATTGTTCTAATATATTAGTAATTGGGTATAGCTAATTTTTATCATGTATAAACATTGACTTTTCCACTCGTTTAAATATAAATATGAGAATAAATTCCGAAGTAATGGTCCAAAATTTTTACCGACCTCGTCATTTTCTTTCAAAAGTCATTTCATAATTTATTAAATATTTAAAATATGTTCATTGACTTTTTTTTTCTTTGTTAATCTATACACAATCTGTTCCAAATAGGCGCAATAAGAATATTAGTTAAAATAAAATGTTGGCATTTAAAAAAATAAAGTTGACACCCTTATAAGTTGTAAGGGTTGATTCTAAAAAGGAATTGATAATAGATAATAAAAAATGTATGTAATTATAAAATACCACCCAATTTAATTTTTAATATTACATTTATTTTGAAAGTGGTTTTTGATAAAGCAATTACTTTCTCTCTATATATATGTATATATAATGCCTTTTTAATATAGTAAAATTGATCAGGCTATATATTATTTAAAATTAAAAATATATTATTAATAAGATTCGAAGTACTTATCTATAAGTTGTTAGCTACTTTCTTAGCTAGATAATCTTCTATTTTATAAATCAGTTAAATATGTATATTATCATGAAAAAAAAATAAAGCTGGAACTCTTACAAGGGATAAAATACCGACCTAAAAAGTATTTAACAATTTTTAAAACGAGAAAAAAATACTACTCAACGAAGCCAATAAAAATATTTTCAAAATTATTATTATTTTAGGTAAAATTTAGTGGTTAATGATAAATAAATCAATTATTCTGTAAAACTCTTTCAGTAAAATATTTAAAATATATTTAGTAATATTTGACACAAGTTTATTTAACAATTTTTATACATTGAATAAGTTTACAACTTTGTAAAAAATTAGTAATACTTTAAAGGTTATACTTTACTAATCTTTGTTAATTTTTATATAATTAAAAAGATATATGATATTATTACAAAACCGTATTTAAACAATCCTCTGTAAATTTATGCTGTTTGTACAATGTTGTAGATAATTTATGGGGAGCGAGTAGGGATGAAAACATAGACCTCCATACTAGTATTTTAATTTTAAATCGATTTCATAAAAAAATCTGTTAATGTTTAGCTAAACCTATTAAAATAAAAATTAAAAAATTATATAACAGTTAACAATTTGCTTAAAATGGGTATATATAATTTCTATTTATTAATTATAAAATGAAAAATAAGTTATATCATATGTTAACAGTTTTTATTTTTTATCAATAATATCATTTTTTATAGTAACCATTATAAAAAAGTTCATGCGATATTTTTTATAGAATTAGTTCAAGAATAAAAATTATTTTCATTAAAATATTACTATACTCCATAAATATTTTATGAGTATTTATCGTACAACTTCCAGAATTAGCTTTCTGGATACGTCACTTACTCCAATCAATTACACATTTAATTTATCAACTTTAAAAGTGACAGGTCCACTTTTGCTAATTTCTCAGGGAAGATGAAAAATTGTCAAGAATATGACATTTAAATTATCTGTAGAAATCTGTTATTTTTGAAAATTTCATTTTGCAGTAAATTATGTATTTACAACTTTCTAATATAAAATGATAAAAATAGATTTATTTATTTTCCATAGTTATTGATATACACAGTAAAATAAAAGTTCTAAGCGCAACACATATCTAAATACTTCATAACAAGAAGTTTTAACTTCATCAAGTAATAACACACACAATTGAAGATAATATATAGAACAATATGCTTTTAATGATTTTGTTTGATATGGTGGTAACGCTTTTTAATATTTTTCTACATATTATATTTTTTTTATCATAACACATTGTTTTTTTTTTTATAAAATTCCACTTGTATTTTTTTTTTTTTGTATAATAAGTATAATATAATATTATACAATTTACAATATTGTTTAAGGTCGGTTCACACTATACGGAACGTCAACGTCACGTCTCAGATCGGCAGCGTCACGTCAAAACATCTAATCATGTATTTATATCGTATGGTTCACATACACCTGCCACGTTACGTAATGTCAACATCACGTAAATACTAATTACATTTTTTTTTATGTGCGTTACGGATCTGTACCGTGACTTTGACGTTCCGTATAGTGTGAATCGACCTTTATAACTATTATGACATCGAAACGGAAATTTTATTGTTCTAGAAAAATGTTTATCACTTCTTTATAACATAATTATTATATGTATACAATTGAGCGCAATGACATTACGAATAATTCGATTAGCTAAGGTCAATGCCATGAATTTTTCTTCAAACTCATTTCCTGTAAATACATGTTATAACCGAAAATGTTTGATGGCAGTTTTACTGTACCTGTGACTATCTTGAGGAAAACCCGTCAAAATAACTATTTATAGATTTTCTGTGACATGAAACTAATATATTTATTATTATACAGAATCTTTAGTAAGTAAGGAAACAGGTCAATTGTTATAAACAACGAGAACAATATAAACCTCGTTTCCT